AGGCGCCCCGGAGCGAGCGCGGCGCGACAGCGAGCGCGGGCTGGGAGCCTGGGGCAGGGCGCAGGAGGGCGAGGGCCGGGGGTGCAGAGGCAGCGAGACGGGCGGCGGAGGGGGAGCCGGGTACCGGCGACAGAGAGGCCTCTGGAGAGCGGGAAGACACCTTTAACACAAAAAGAAGTCCCCGCAAGGAGGACCCGGAGACAGGAAACCGGCAGGTGGGGAGGGGAGGCGGGGTTGGGGGTGCTGAGGACCGGGCCGGAGCTGAATGTCCTCTGCCAGCCCTGGTCCTGGCTGCGGCCCAGGGACCGCGCCAAGCTCTGTTCTGAGGCGCTCTCCCTAGTGTGATCCCCGGCGCAGGGGCCCCTGTCCTAGGTAGGGTCTGTAGCATCGCTCTGTCATCCTCAGATCCGTGGCATCCAGCCTCCCTCGGAGGCCCTGGGCAGGGCCTTTTCCCTCCTGCGCTCCCCGGCAGAAAATGCTCCAAGCCCCTCTCAGGCAGCGGTGTGACAGAACAGGTCCACAGCCCAGGCCCTGACCCTGATGCAGTGCCTGCCAGGGTGAGCCCCAGCCCTGCTGTGCCCCTCCAGGGTCCTGGCAGGCCAGGGTCACCCGGACGGGCTTTGAAGAGGGCTGTGGTAGTCGTGTGTCATGTGAAGATCAAGGTCAAGAGCTTCTCCCAAAACCCCATCTGGCCTCTCACCCAGGCGTTCCCACCCCACCTCCCACCGGCCTTGGGTCTTTGTCACTGCAGGGTGGGTAAGTCAGGAGAGAGCCTGGGGCCTCAGCGTGTCCATGTGAGGCAGCAGACGCTGCGCCTGTCCCCTCCCCCAAGTGTCTACAGGGTCCAGACACCGCAGTGTAGGCCAGGGCCCAGTGCCTGCCAACAGGGTGATGTCCATGAGGAGCCCCCAGAGACAGGTCCCCTGGGTTCGAGGAGGAGCAGAGTCGGGAGCACCAGCAGTGGGGGAGTGGGCTCTCCCGAGCCGTGGGGAGGGCCTTTGGGCAGAGAAAGGCTTCCACACTAATCGGAGGGAGGACAGGCCCCTGGATGATCCAGCACTTCCGAGCGCTGCTGATACTGTCAACTGGGAGCCAGGAATTAAAAATAAATGCCTGGCGAGACAGCAAGACGCACCTGCCCCACCCTGCTGTGCGGGTCTCTACATTTCATGCTCCCTCCCTGCCTGAAGGTTAGGCTGGCCTGTCACAGGTGCTGTGATTGGTCAAGGCTGAGTGGGCCAGAGGAAAGGGGGAGGGAGCTGGGAGGCTGGGGACTCCCACCAGCAGATAAGACCCTGGGCCACCCTCAGCCTTTGAGTCTGCAGGAGACACTTCCTCCCCGACAGATCCGAGCACTGCTCCCCTGCCTCTGTGCACCTCTAGTTAGCAGTCAGCTGGGGAGGCCCAGGGCAGGGGCTCACTTGTGCCCCAGGAATGGTCTCGGGTGGCAAGATGGGGCGTCCTCCTCGAAGCACTATGCACTGACCCTGGAGAGGGTGTCAGGGTGTCTCCGAGGACACAGCGTGTCCTGGAGAGACCCACGATCAGCAGTGAAGACGCTCGGCGCGTGCAGAATACAAGTCCACGTAAGGCAATGATGCTTAGTGGGGGGACTGCACGGCACGACTGCTCACAGCACTAAACGACCAGCCCTGGCTCTCAGCGACCACTGCCCATGGGACAGGACTGAGGATGCCGATGCTGGTAACCCTGGCCCCTGCCTAATTACCGCTGTGGTCTGAATTTTCCCCCGAAGTGCACAAGTTGGAAACGATCCCAGGGCCACAGAGTTGGGAGATGGGGCATCTGGGAGGCATCTGAGTCAGGAGCCTCACCATGATGGGTTAATCCACCTCCTAGAGGGCCTGTGGGAAGGGGTTTCTCTTGCCCTCCGCTGTGGAGTGATGCCAGCACCTTGTCTGAGCACCGCCTGACCTCCAGTGCCGTGAGTACTGAATCCTCGTCGGGAATTACCCGCTCACAGGCATACAGTTGCAGCAGCACAGAAGAGACTAAGACAGCTACTACTTATTCAGTAGATAATAATACTTGGACTATTAAGTACTAAGCAATGCTGAATAACAACATTACTTGCTAATTAATAACAGCCGCAGTTGCCAAGCGCTGTAAGCTCTCCCAGTGCAGCAGCGCCCCCTAGGCTGGCCTGATGCTCCGGTGAACGTGCGAGGCAGCTGGGGCTCTGAGAAGCCAAGCATCCTGCCCGAGGTCACACAGTAAGTGGGAAGCTTGAAAGGCTTGAGCCAGGCCAGTGTGATGTCCTCACAGAAGCCCGAGTCCCCCCTGCGGCTGTGCCCTGTGTCCCCCAGGTCAGCCTCCACCCCTTTGCTGTCCCTCTTACTGCATCTGAGTCACTGGTCCCCATGGCCCAGGGAGTTGCCACACGTGGGGGTTGGGGGAAGCCAACCAGGGCTCCCTCTGGGAAGCAAGATGGGAAGAAGGGCTATAAGTTCAGGCCCTCTTTGGCCCCCTCCTGGAGCCCTCAGGGCCCATCAGGTTGTTTGAGGAGACACAGGCAGCCCCTCTACCCCCTCAACCCCCCACTGGCTGGAGTTTCATGAGCCTCAGGAATGAAGATCCAGCTAAAATTAACCATTCTCAAGCTGTCAGCCCTGGAAATAAAACCACCTCCCATTGGCTACTGATGATGTCACTGTCAGGTTAATAATAGCCTGTGAATGCATAGCTAACCACCTGTGCATGTGCCTTCCTGCGGGCCTCTGCTGGGCACCCTGGGAGCCGCTGCCCCGCAGGTGGAGCCTCGACCCACATGGGCTGTGGCTGGGCCTGAGACATCCTGGGAAGGATCAGGCCGGTGCCCGCCTCTCAGTGTCCCTAGACTTCCACCCTGGCTCAGCCACGGCTGCCTTGGGGCCCCAGGGTGCACCCATAGTCAGTCGCTGAGCATGGAGCCTCTGCCAGCCTTCCTGGGCTACGGGGAACCACTCGGCAGCCTCTGTGACCAGCTCTCGAGGCGGCTACCCAGGGGACCGAGCCAGCCCTGGGGCGGTAGATTGAACTGTCTGCCTGGTAAGAGAAACGCTCGTGGCAGTGGGGCTTCCCTTGGAAAAGCAAGGTCATGTCTTCCCAAATCAGAGAAGCTGGGGTGGGGGACAGGCAACAGGCCGGCCGGCCAGCCAGTCAGAGCAGCCTGACTGGTGCTCGCCAGGGTCAGTCCAGGGAGCTCAGCAGCTTGCAGGGAGCCGTTGCTATGGTGAGAGGCAGCCTGCAAGCCAGGCAGCTCCTCCCCACACCTCCTCCCCAGAAGTCTGACCCACCCGTGTGAACATCGGGAGGCGCTGCAGAGGTGCTCTCTCTACTCAGAGCAGAGGAGAGAGCCAGAGCTTCTGTGGGGCTAGGGCCCCCATTCAGCTGCTGCAGGCTGAAGCTTGGGGGCCAGACAGGACATAGCATCTCTGAGCAGGGAGGGGTCAACCTCTCAGGCCCAAGCAGGGCAGTTCCCAGGTCAGAAGGGCACAGCACCCAGACAGAGAGGATGTGTCTTTCTGTCCAGGTCCAGCAGAGGACGAGGGCTCCCCCTCAGCACTCAGTGGAACTAGAGCTGTCCTGGGCCAGTCTCGGGGAGGCTCTCACAGCCCACCACCCACCCTGGGCCCATCTCCCTTCTGCACCCTTGGCCCTGAGTTCCCAGGGGAAGTTCCCAGGGGAAGGTTGAGGAGTCTAGGGTTCCTTAGGGAGTTTGTCAGAAGCTCCTGTCCTTGGAATGAGCTAGGGATGGCCTACAGGGAGGCTCCTTGTCCGGTCAGCTGCAAGGAGACCCAGAGGCCCCCTGCCCGACCATGCCACCAACCACCAAAAGAGGAAAGGGTGGACACCGTGGGCCCTTTGCCCTCTCCAAGGCCTGGGGGGCGGAGTCTTCTAGGAGGGGTTAGCTCAACCTCGCCGAGTTACCGCAGCCCTTAGAAAGTGCTTATGAGCACCAGCCCAACCAGAAGGCAGGACATGGACCGCTGGTCTTTTTCCTTGACTGTGGGTTGAATTTCCTCTCAGTTTGAGTCAAGTGATTTTTTTTTTTTTTTCAAACTGAATCAGGACAGCATGTAGAGATGCTGAATTCTGTTACCTCTTCAGAAAGAGGTTGGCTCTCGTCTTAGCAGGCCTCTCAGCTAGGGGCCTGTGTGGGCTTGTCTCGTGCTCTCGTTAGTGTCTGTCTGTGCAAGGACAAAGTGGCTCCCAAGCCCCTCGAACCTGGTGGCATTCAGCCCTCAAGCCTGGTTTCCTCTGCAGGTCTCCACTGGCTTCGGTTTGAGCTTTTGTCAGATGGGTCTAGAGTAGGCAGGATAGTACATTGAAGTCCTTTCTCCAGAAATAGTAACAGTAAGGAAGCCAGACTGTGCTGACCAGGTCCATTTCTGCACAGCACCGCTTCTCTCCTACAGTTTTTGCTCCACTCTAAGCTGTGGTGGGCACGGTGTAAGGTGACCCCAGTGAGTCACACACCCCACGAGGAGGGAGCCTGTGGCTGTGTCTCCTGTGAGAGGCTCACGTTACCCAAGACTGTCCTGGCAGACCGGGCAGCAGGGTGCTCCCGCCCAGGGTGAGATCCCAGCAGGGCCCCAGGCTACCAGCCAACAAGAAATCCTGCCAAGAACTGTGTGACCCACAAAGGGGACCTCAAGCTTCACAGAGAAGCCACAGCCCTTGATTGTGCCCTTTTGTGACCAACCGAGGTGAAATCATGCTGGACTCTGGACCATACGAACTGAGTAAAAAACAAACCAAAACAGCACAACACTGTATTTTAAAGCAAGTGGGCATGGTGACGCACGCCAGAATCCAGGAGGTTGAGGCAGGAGGATCACCATGAGTTACAAGCCAACTGGAACTATATGGAGAGATCCTGTCTCAAAAAATAAATAAAGCCACTAAAACTGGGAGGCTGAGGCAGGATTGCCACTTTGAGCCTAGCCTTGGAAATTTAGCAACTTAGCAAAACCCTGTCTCAATAAAATAAAATGAAATAACAACAACACAACAAAAAGCTGGGGATATAGTGCAGTGTAGTTCAGTGCAAAGGCCCTAGGCTCCATCACCAGTACCACAAAAAAAGAAAAAGCCACTCCATGTGTGGTGACGTGCTAAGCAGCAACACAGCGCCTGACCTGCAGCAGCTGCACCACTGATCCCCAGTGCCAGCCCTGAGCCTCCTCACCCCAGCCTGTCCCCTGCCCGACCTCCGTGCTCCGCTCAGCCGCCCACAGAACCACGCTGGGAAGCCACCCTCATGTGCTAGCCCACAGCTCCTCCAGTGAAGTCACGCTGTCCCCTTTGTAAGTGTCCTGTGCTTTCCCAACTGGTGACAGAATTCAGATTCCCTCAGCTGGCGGCAGGATCCCAGTCTCTCCACCCCTCCCTGCACCACTTAGTACAGCTTCCAGCAGGTGTGAGGTGGTAGCTCATTGTGGTTTTGATTTGCATTTGCTTGACGACTCATAATGTTGAACAAATTTTCATGTGCTCATTGGTGGTTTGTTTATCTCCTTTGGAGAAATGTCTATTCAAATCCTTGACCAATTTT